TCATGTACACATGATTGTTTTCTCTTATTTGAAATATAATGTTTGATCTGATTTGACTACTGTATAATTTACCTGATTCCGGATTTACTAAAATGTAAAGCATGATTGTTCGATTTATGATTTCTGAATACTGGATTACTGAACTAATGATCTGTCTGAACTCTGAATTACTGTTACTACTGGTTACCGTCTGAAAAATATTTTCTTCGGGGTACTCTGGGTTCTGGTATGAAGACTCTGGCATGTTCAGTCGCTATTGGTAATTCCTTGGATAGGTTCAGCATCGACTGGTAATTCCTTATGGACCTAAGGCGACCCTTGGGTAGGCTCTGCGACCCTGAGATTTTCTTGGGTATGCCTTTGTGGCCCCGAGAATTGTATTGGGTAGGCTCGCAGGCCCAAGGTACTCCCTTAGGTTGTGTAGTTTTGGGGAACTGCACATGGCGTTCGGTTAGAGGACGTTTCAGAATTTTTAAATTAAAAACTCCTATGATGTTTTAATGATTATGATCTGTACTGGTTTTAAAAATCATAACTGTATGTTTTTAATTCTGCATTGTTAGGACACATTGAGCCTCTAGCTCACTTTTCAAACTGTTTTACCCCTTTCAGATACTCTCGGATAGACACTCCGTATCAGGCACTTGGAGGATTGGTACATTTAGTTCATATCATTTTGTTGTAATATTATGTCTTCCGAACTGCTTTTAATTATGGTGACATGTGCCTTATTGTTAAAGTATTTATCGTTTTATGATGTTTATTGCTTTTGCTACTGATATTTGATTTACGATGCTCCGGATTTATTTCATGTTTTATTTTATCGGGTTGCTTTTAGTTTTATATTCAAGAGTTCGGTTTTATCGTTATTTATTATACTTTTATAAAGGTAATTTGAAATATGATTTATATTAACGAATAATGTTTTTTGGAAATGTTTTTAAGAATCTTTAATGTAATATGCTAGATTTAGTCGAAACACATAGGCTAGGTCTAGGGGGTTACATTTTATATCGTATAATATCTATTGAGAATTAAGATTTAATTGCGTTGGATTAAGGTAACCAAATTGTAAAAGTTACCAAATTATTAAACCAAATTAGGTCATCATATGATAAGTATCAATACTTAATATAAGAGTACTAATATCTTTCATGTGGTATTAATACTCCTTGTAAGATTCATTTTCTTGAAAAATAGAACATTGGAACCACATGAGGCATGAATCAAATTATTGCAATAAATTTAGAGAAGAATGAAATAAGTTGGTGTTCGTCTATAATTTTCATATATGATCATAGAATGCCATAATATGAACTTGTTAAAAAATCAATATAGTACACAAACAATATAATACACAAACATCAGTAATTGCTAAATAATTAATTATAATTTTGGAAACATTATATAGAAATTCTTACCTTAAAGGCCCAAATAAAGCCTGCCAAAGTGTATTTAGAACCATCGCCCCACAAACTTTTTCGGTCCTCAAAGGCAGACGACAACTTCTTCCAGGTAGCTTTCCATAGATATGAACCCCACGGAAACAAGTTCCATGCATTTAGGTCCTCTACCAATAATATTAGGTCCTCAGAAATAGGTTGTCTTCCCTTTTTGCCTTAAAAGCCGACATGCAAAAGTAATAAATGGCATATTCGGACAACATCAAGGTCATCCATCCGAGTAAAACCATCTTTAACAAATAATCTCTTCAAATCATCGACTTTTCCAGCTCAGGAAAAACCTGAGATAACCATGATGGGCGGGAGATATGACTAGTGTACCGGGTTACTTCATCGTGTCTGAAGCGTAGACCAGTGATTAAGCAAAACTCCTCCCGCCCAAAACAAGTATACGCCGGAGGAAAATGAAACCATATCTCTTCATCACCACGTTGTATCCTCTCGGTCATGGTCTGAAGAAACAAATGTGTCAACATAGCATCTCTACCCGGATGTTGTACTTTCAGCCATGGCCCGAAGTAAGTATCCTCAAACAATTTTCTTTGTAGAGGTGTAAGCGTCGACGCAATTTTAGTGGCTATGCTTAATTTATTCCTTAAGGTCAATTGAGCCGAAAAAAAAGTCTACAAAAACAATAAACATACCAAGTTAGATATACCAAAAACTACAAATTATATACTATAAACAGACATGATATTAAATAGTGAAAACAAAGCCAAATATAATTCAAACTAGCACGGTATTCACCCAAGTCATTATTCTATCATAGTTCACAAAATGCATCAGATAACATTCCAGAAGTAAACACTTATAAAACATTTAAAAGGACAACATATAGGTTCACTGCAGGTTCAAGGATAACATAAAGAGTAGTAGTTTATTCTTGAAACTTAAATTCGCAACACTGTGAAGTTAGTATTTGTCTTTGTTTTTTGGTTGAAGTAATGCAATTCATTCAAGTTTCAATTTGCAGAAGATTAGTGTCTGAAACTTAAATTCGCAATGCGAAAATGAAAATCGCAACGCGAAAATGAAAATCGCAACGCGAAAATGAAAATCGCAACGCGAAAATGAAAATCGCAACGCGAAACTAAATTCGCGTTGCGATTTTCGTGTTGCGATTTTCATTTTCGTGTTGCGAATTTAAGTTTCAAAAACTATTCTTCTGCAATCTAAGTTTCACAGGGTTAAAAACTAAACAGTTTAGCAGTATTGGCAGCAACCGAATGAATTTACTAAGAAATCTAAGTGAAATGATTAATCTATATATTGAAATTACCAGTAAATTTATCATCAATATAAGAAAAATCTAATAATAATACAAAAATTTCAAAATAAAAATAAGAGATTAAAAAACCTAACCCTCGGTGGTAGATTTTTCATATCTGACCGTAAATGGTTGTGAGGGTTGCTATGAGAGATGGAGATAGATGGATTTCGTCAGAGATGGAGACGGATTACGTCGGAGATGGGGACGGATGTCGCCGTAGAGAGTGAGAGATAGAGATGGGACTGAGTTGTGATTTAGGGTTTTAGGTTATGATTTGCGATAATACTGTTTACATTTGGGTTGCGAAATTAATATTGCGAAAATAAACGCGCTTTGACTTTTCTGTTGCGAATTTGACTTATGTGTTGCGAATTTAGAAAATCGCAATGCGATTCACATATTCGCGTTGCGAATTTGAAAACTGGGTTGCGAAATTGGAGTTCGCGTTACGAATTTGTTGGTCATTTTCACAAATCCTAAAAAAGTTGGTTAAAATCGTATATTATAAGGCATTTTCGGTCACTGAGATTATTTTCTCTATTATAAATATGATAAAACAATGGCATTAGCAGTTTGTTGCCAGTTTAGAGCCCAGGGATCATGTCGGGAATGCAGGGAACTCTGCTATTCAGAATCCAGTCAGTTGAATAGATGTAGACGTCGGCGGTGAATTTTTTTATCTCATTCTCGGTGAGTGTCTTGATACCACCCCACTTGACCCTTCCGTCAGTTTTAGCACCCGGACACCTATTTCCAAATTCGACGTAGTTCGAGGTTTCTAGGCCTGAGTCGCCGTTAATCGAGATGTACCCCTCCAGTTGGATGATGTCGTCGATATGTGATTGTATTATGATAACAGTGGCGAATTGCCTCTAGGGTCTGTTGAGGTACGACTTGTTCTTGTCCTTCACAGGGAGGTAGTCCTTATCGCCGGAGAAGGTGCAGTTCTGGAACAAGAAGCCGCCTTTCGACTGTTACGTTTTCTTTCCCTGTGCGATGACGATGCAGTCTGGTTATCTAGTGGCTTCAAGACGAGCATTTCACAGTTCTGGAACACGGCCCTAGCGTCGCCGATGACGATGCAGTTTTGGTTATTTAGATTTATTCTAAATATAGAATATTATTTGTAATTGATATTGTAATATATTTATATATTACTTTTTTTCGCACATCAAAAGATTATATTTTTATTAATAATAGTAAACCATTGAAAATAAATAGTTGTATTAAGGTACAACAATCAAACAAAGTAATACTGAAGAAAACTACGTCAAAATAAAATATTTATATATTATTATTCAATTTTATAATAAACATACATGCTTTATTTTGTAATATGAATATGAATGTATGAATGTGAGAAAAAAAAGTTGATTTTGAAGAGCCTTTTTTTTAATTAAACATTTTTATCTAATCTATTTATCGACTAATTCAGATCGGTAACTATAGAGTCAAGGGTGACTCTTCCAACCCAATTTGCACCATTCACAAATGCCAAGGTTCAAACCTCTGACATTGTTTAAGGAATCTAATACCTCATCCCACTAGACCAACTGATTGTTAGTAGTTTTGAAGGGCTTTGACTATGAAGATTAAACATTTTTTTATTGCTATGGGGTAAATACAAGACATTTAAATATAACTCTCAACTAAATGACATTGACCGTTCATACTCCTGGAATTTTTGGTTGTCGAATCTGAGATCTCAAGGAATAACAATAATTTATTTATTATCGAAGTAGCTTAGTTTGTGAGAAAATTAAACAGATAGATAGGTAGTTAGAGACTTATTAAATCATGTATGTATATTAACAGATCATTTTGATTAAAGTTTGTATCAGTGATGTTATACTTATTCTCTTATTAATTTTTATATTTAACATAATCTCTAGTTAGTCATGCAATATGCATTTTCTCTGATAATTTTTTATACTTAGATCACATTAAGTTCTATAATTTATTCTTTATTTTCTATGTTTCTTTTCTTATGAGCACATTCTTTAGGATCCGATTCAATATCATTTGAAAGGTTTTCTTTTTACCTTTATTTTTTCCTCAATTAATACTCTTCTATGACTTCTTTATCTATTCGTAGCTTTGAGTATTCAAACATTAATCGTCAAATGGTTGAAAGTCTTTAGAAGAGATATTATCAGTTGTAATAACCCTAGATATCATTGAAACAAAAACCACAGAATGTATACAAAATCTTTATTTTTTTTAACTGCAGTCCAGAGCATTTTAAGTCCTCAAAATGAACTATTTTTCAGTTTAATATCAGGGTCTACAATTCAACATTCTCCAAAATTGTCGCAGCAAAGTCTTTGCTTGTTGCAGTTCATACGATATAATGTCTGCAACCACTTTACACTTCACTTGAACCCGGCTCGATAATAGATCGTAATCCCCCTCGAACCATCATTTCCGAATAGAATTCAGCATGCTCCTGGAAATTAAGACACAATAACATATTAATTGATCCATCACTGCTTTCAATGAAGCTTTGGTCCTTCGCCATTAGCATACAAAATGATGGCAAAGGGAAGTTTTACTAGCTTGGTGCATTTCCGAATATTTCTACTTTATCCTAACAGTATTGGAGAATAGAGTAAGCAGACAACTCGGTCATGTTAGAATTTAGACTCGAAATATTTAAGCTATGCTTAATGGCAAGAGCGATAATACATGTTGCATCCTCCACTCTTGATCACAGACTTCATATATTCATTTGAGAAATTCAGCAAATGCAAAGAACATATATACCTTTACTGTGACAATCACGATTGCCACCCCATTTTCACGAGATTCATGAAACAGTTTTCTTGCATCTTCTGGTGTAACGGAGGGAACAGCTCGGGGCAAAACCTTCGCAACTGCAAGAAAATAACAGACACAAGTACAAGATAAATGTTTAGATAAATATGCATGAAAGAACAGAAATTAGTCGAAAAGTCCTGCACAACGGAGCTGAATAATCCATCCTTCATGTTTCCATACATAACAGCACTAATTGAAACCATCCAAATACTGATGTTGACTTCTAAAATTTGAAAATACAAACCTGTTAATGAAAGCAGCAAACAAATTTCTTTTATTAAAGAGCATTGAATATTTACATTTTCATATTTAACTCATTTACATATGCTTGATGTTATTGTAAATAAGTTACCTAATTTTTCTGAATGTTGAGCATCGTCAACCAGCAAAACTCTATAACTGTCTCCGTTGCCAGTACGTTTTCTATCTGTCGAGCGCCCGATATCACCACCTGTGATTGTCGGAATAAACATGATAAGTGAGTTATCCATCACAGGCCTCACACACTGGAAGACTTAAGAAATTTCAGATGAGTTAGGCCATTAATGGCAGAAAAATGTATGAGCATTTGATCCAACTCACACAAACATAAAGAACACCGACATATACATATATAGAAGCATCCATGTATATCAAATAAGTCCTGTTTACTTGGATATAACTAAATACTCAATCTTTGTAGGGTTTAACCAAGCTATATCATCTAAAGCTCTTCATTTATATAATGTAACAGTACCAACCAAGTATACTTAAATCTTGGATAAAACTAAACACTCAAGACTCCATATCCAGAGTCCGAACAACATAGAAACCAAGTAACAATGGTTCAATTTATCTCGAAGGATGTCTATTTCCGAAGCACGGATATGCTAATTGACATCATTTAGCAATTCATACATTGAAATTTTGAAGCAAACTCAACCAAAGACAAGTCACCGATAAACAAGGCAATAAAGTTGTAGAGCTAAAACGAAACACAGATAAAATTAGACGTCAATGGTTAAATCAAAAAGGTAAAATTGATGGGAAATTGAAGCTAGAAATGAAAATGGAACAATGTAATCATAAAGAAAACATCAAAGACTCAATCATTTCACTTTCACCAATTATAAAGACTCAATCTTTCGCCCTTCTCTTTCTTATCAACCCAAACAATTCTAAAAAAGATTCACATAAAAAATCCATGTTGGAATTTCCCCTTTTTATAGCTTCTTCCAACCAAAAAAAAAATGGAGAACAAAACTTTAAAAGCTGAAAATCGAACAGAACTTCAAGAACTTGTGTAGAAGGGTCAAACTGGGATTGATCGAAACTGGGTCGTTCCAAAACACCAGCACCGCCGGTCTTGAAAGAACCGAACTGGGCTTTCACGCCCGTAAGTCTCGAACCCATTTTCTCCGCCGATGGGTGGGTTCCGTTCGCACCGCAGAGTTTCCCAGTAGTTGGAGCCGAAGGGTTGCGCTCAAAGTTCACCATAACAAACGAAGACGTCATTGCGAGTCCTGCAACAACCGCCATAACCAGAAAATTTTGCCTTTCTTCTCTCGACCTTTGCCCTTTTCCTTCTCGCTAACAAATTGCAACGATAAGTTTGTTTGTAAGTAATGAAAGAGGGAAATGGGTGCTCAAACAGTTTATACCATGAGCTGTTATTTGTTTTGGGAAAAATTACACGTTTCATTGAATTTTACTCTCTCTCTTATTTCACTCACTATACTTTCAATTTTTTTAATTTGTTTACTGACTTTAGACATTAAACTTTTTTTATTAACTCGACCGTTAAATTTATACCGCTATTAAATTAAAATTAAAAAATTAAAAGTACAGTGACTATAATAGGAAATAGCGTAAAGTTCAGTGAATAAACGTGTGTCATGTTTTATTATTAAAATAAGTCACGTGAGCACCTCGTTATTGAGTAAGCGACCGAGAAACAAAAGAAGTTCAATATCTAAAGTTTAATGAGTAAATTGAAAAAACTGAGAGTATAACGAGTGAAATAGGAGAGATAGTAAAGTTTAGTAAGTAAATGTGTGTCATGTTTTATTATTAAAACAAGTCACGTGAGCACCTCGTTACTAAGTAAACGGTCGAGTGACAAAAAAAAGTTCAATGTCTAAAGTGAGAAAATTGAAAAAAATTGAAAGTATGGCGAGTGAAATAGGAGAGATATTAAAACTCAGTGAGTAAGCGTGTAATTTATCCTTTTTGCTTTCTTTTTGATAAATTGCACGTGTGATTCTTTATATTTTCAGTCTGTTCAATTGTAGTCACCAATTCAGAAAAGATTGATTTTAGTCACTTATGTTTTACATTTTAGTAGTAATAAAATTATAACACGACATTTTTTGGATAAATTGCTTTGCTTCAGCTGCAGGAGGACGTGAAGAAGCTGCTTAGTGCTCAAGGAAATTTCAGAGAACAGGAGCTCGAGTACATGCAATCTCACAAAAGGCTAATGATTGTTTCCTTACGGAAGCTTAATGTAGCCGACATAGAAGCAACCCTTTCTCATGTTTGCCAAATGGTTGTTTCATCACTCTCTTCTTTTATGGATGTTCGATGACAATGATTTAGGTCAGTGCTTCTTGGGTATCGTGGCTGTTAGTTTCCTCGAGTAGAATAATTAAGTCCGTTGCGAAAATTTATTCGTTGATGGTTATCTTCGCGATACAAACAAAATTGTTATTCTTCTCCTTGATCGTTAAGATCCTTGGAGTATGTATGAGACTCAAGATTGTTTTGTTGTTTCTTGTAGTTTCTATTGGTGTCCGTTTTTGTTAGGTGTCTTAGAGTGTCTTTTTGAACTTGGTTGTTGGTTGTAGGGCTGAACAACAAAATCGAGAAAATCGAAAAATCGACACGAACCGAATAAAACGGTTCGGTATTATACGGTTTGATTTTCGGTTCGGTTTAAAGTCTCAATTCTTTTGATTCGATTCGGTTCGGGTTTTCCATATGAAACCCATTTGTTCCATATTAAACCGAATAGGCAATTTTTTTAAAAAAATTATAGTTTCAAGTGATTTTTTCATTGAAAACCCGATAAATCGAACCGAACCGAATCGAAAAACCTGATCCGTTAAAAAAACCGAACCGAACCAAAAAAATCGGTTTCGGTTTTTTTGGTTTTTTAACCATTCGATTTCGGTTTCGGTTTAAATTTTGAAAAACCGTTTATTTCGGTTCGATTCAAATTTTGGTAAAAATCTGAACCGAACCGAATACACTCCTAGTTGGTTGTCGGTTTTGCATTTCTCTGAGTTGTTGTTTCCTAGTTGTGATATACTCTTTTACTCCATATAAGTTTAGAGAGTTTTTTAACGAGGTGTCCAACTTATATAATCCTTAATAAAAATTTATTTTCCTAGGAAAAAAATCTACAATTATAAATTTTAATTCAACGCTAATTCGTCAAATTAAGAGAAATGAAAATAACCTCGGAAATGATCATGTTTTTAGATCATATTCCCTCTTAAAATGTTTCTAAAATTTGCCATGGATCAAATATGAAAAAATTTAAGTAGTTTTAGGGTAAATTACATAAAGTCATTGAACTTTTAGGACACTTGCATTTTGGTCACCCAATTTCTAAAACTTACAATACTGTCACTGAACTTGTAATTCATTTTCAGTGGAGTTCCTGATGTTACCTATCGCTAATTTTATCTGGCGTGGCACGTTACCTCCCGTTATCTCCTCCTCCTCCTCTTCTTCTCCTTCAGCTCCTCCTCCTTCTCCTCTTCTTCTTCTACTTCAACCCCGCAGTACATACATGAACCTCAGGTAATGTGGAGAAATCATTGGCTTGCAATCTTTAGGTCACATACGTGTATATTCATTATAGCCACTCATAAAAAAATCTGAAATTATAGGCAAAAAGCAAACAAAGGAAAGAATCTATTTTGATGTGTTTTGTAGTCGATCACCTGAAATAGAATAAATAAATGTGAGGAAATTAGATGTGCATCAGCCTTCAATACATTTAAAAGTAATTCGGAATATTCAGAAGCAATATACCAAAGACTCGTGAACACAACATAAAAGGTAGCTGTATAAAATAACTCATACTTGAAATATGTATATAAGTATAAGATCCAAAAGACGATGGTACCTGGGTTTTTGGTCCACCATTATAAGAACCAAATTGTTTACGAACAACATTATATCTCGTTGTAATACAAACTGCCCTTGATAAGGCAGTAGAAACATCAGCTACTATTGCTTGACGGACACAGACCATCCTACTATAAAGCAGATGGCGTGGTACATTATATTGCATATATTTCCCTTGTAACCTTTGAAATGATGGAGAGGAAAAAAGAAAAGCAATCTTTAGAACAGTCTTGTTTATCCATGAAAAGCCTCCTACAACCTGACAAATTGAAGAAGAAGAAGAGTTAACAGGAGGTAACTTCACACGTTAGATAAATTAACAGGAGGTAACGTCAGGAATTTTATTGAAAACGATCTGAAAGTTCAATGATTATATTGTATGTTTTAAAAGTTGAATGATCGAAATAAAAGCGCCCCAAAAGTTCAATGACTATTTATATATTTTACCCTAGTTTTCATTTAACCTTTTACTTATGATACTAATCACTTTCTCATTTTCCTTTTCAAGAATATAATGAACTCTTGTTCGGTTGACACTAATTATATGATAATGGAGATTAATATTCTTTGTAGCCAAAAAATTATTGGCATTACCTTTTTTTAACTTCTATTTCTTGAAAGTTATAAATAGGAGTTATTTAAAAAATGATATAATGTCAATAAAATAAATAAACAGAAGTCATTTAAAAAAAATTGATATAGTGTTAAAATTAGTTGCTAATATTTAATATAATGATCATTTTAATTTTAATTTTTTAAGTATTTTGGTCTCACCATTTTAGTTTAGGATAAATAGATCTCTAACGTTTGACTGAATAGTCATTTTGATCCTTATTATTTTTTAAAAGTATTTTGGCTCCTAGTATTTTTATTTTAGGGTAAAAGTTATATTTTCTAACAATCTTCATTTATGGAGGTTTTTTTTTTGCCCTAAAATGAAACATTGAGAATCAAAATGTCAAAGATAATGATCAAAATAACTATTTTAATAAACATTGAAGTCTCATTTCGACATTAGGCCAAAAATATTTTTGGTACATTTTGACTCTCTCTCAAACAAAGATCTTTGAACCTTTCTCTTTTGTTTTAAAAATATATTTTTGTTAAGATTGGATAACAAAAATAGTTTATCTTAATTTTCAAAATAATCTAATACGTGAATATTTATTTTCAGAATTAGTTATAGATTTCCGATTAAAACCAATATCTGGGAAATGGAAATTAAATTAAATATAAGTATTTTTTTTGTTGAAAATTTAGATATTTGAGGAGGAGAAGAAGGGTGTATAGCTAAAAATAGTGATTTCCTGCAAGTACAAATAGGGCATTGGAACTGCCAGATTCTTCAATCAAACAGCAAAAGCTTAAGGGGCTATTGGCAACAAACAGCCCCCCACGCCCACGGCTGTTTGTATTTTTAAAAATGGCGGGTAACTTACTTTTTGTCATCGTCCTTTTGGTTGCGGTGGTCGGTACTGTCCTGGCCGTCGTGTTCGCTAACGGTATGCAAACTGCTGAGAGGAAGGAGAAGGAAGAAGAGAAGGTGTTGCAGTCCAAGAAGGAGATTCAGTTCCTTTGTAAGCCCACGAATTTCAAAGATGAATGTGAGGATAGCATGGATTCGTCCAATTCCACCGACCCCAAGGTGCTGATAAAGACGGAGTTCAATGCCACGATGGCGGAGATTAGGAGGGTGATGGAGAGTTCGAAGGAGGTGAAGGAGCTGCAGAAGGATGAAAACGCGAAGGAGGCTTTCGGTGTTTGCCAAGAGATGTTCGATTGGGCTATTCAGGACATTGAAAGATCGTTCGAAAAGCTCGGGAAGACCAACATGACTAAGATCAACGATGTCCTCTTGACCCTCCAGGTGTGGCTGAGCGGCGCCATCACCAGCCAGCAGACTTGTTTAGACTCGTACTGGGAGATGGACGTTAGCGCGGCGAAGAAGATGAAGAGGATCATATCCAAATCACAGGATTTAACCAAGAACGCGCTCTCCATTTTGAACGGATTATCGTCCATCACGAACGCACTCAAAATCGGCGGCTTCGACTTATCGGGATTGTTCCATCGGAAGCTGTTACCGAGAGAATTCCCCGATTGGATGAGCTCCGGCGACCGGAAACTCTTGCAGGAGAAAACTGAAGAGATTGTGCCTAATGTCACCGTTGCTAAAGACGGAAGTGGAAAATTCGAGACCATCGCCAAGGGTATTGATGAAGTCCCGAAGAAGAATACTGAACGATTTGTTATTTACATTAAGGCCGGAGTTTACGATGAGAGACTCAAAATCCCCAAGGGCCTTGACAACATTATGCTCATCGGAGATGGTCCGACCAAAACTATCATCACCGGTAGCGTCAGCGTCGAAAAGACACTGCCGAGACCCCCCACATTCAACACTGCAACAGTTTGTAAGTTATACATATACCGCTAACGCTACTGGTTAATAAGGTTCATTTTTATCACTTTGCTCTAATTGTTTTTGGTTTTTGTAGCTACAAGTGGGATGAACTTTATAGCCAAAGACATCACCTTCGAGAATTCCATCGGACCCGACGGTCACCAAGCGGTTGCCGTCAGGAACTCCGGCGATATGTCCGCCTTCTATAACTGTCATTTCAAAGGGTACCAAGACACCCTTTATGCCCACGAGGGACGACAATTCTACCGCGACTGTGTCATCACCGGAACCATAGACTTTGTCTTCGGCGATGCTAGGGCCGTGTTCCAGAACTGTGAACTGATCGTCTTGAAGCCACTAGATAACCAGAACTGCATCATCATCGCACAGGGAAAGAATGAGGAAAATTCGACAGGCGGCTTCGTGTTCCAGAACTGCACCTTCTCCGGCGATAAGGACTACCTCCCCGTGAAGGACAAGAACAAGTCGTACCTCAACAGACCAGGGAAAAAATATGCCACTGTCATCATAATGCAATCGCAGATCGACGACATCATCCAACCGGAAGGGTACATCCCCACGCATGGTAAACGGGGCTTGGATACCTCGTACTATGTCGAGTTCGACAACAGGGGACCTGGTGCTAAAACCGACGGCAGGGCCAAATGGGACGGTATCAAGCAGCTCGATGCAACTGCCATTAAGAAATTCACCCCCACCATCTACATCGAATCGGAGACCTGGGTTCCAAAGACCGGAATTCCCTGCATTCCCAATATGATCACTGGGCTCTAAACTGACAAGAAATCGCTAAGGGACAATGTTTTATCATTTGTTATTTTCCTCATAACTTGTGTTGTACATTAAAACAGCTATTTTTCAATTTTCTATTCATGCCTGCTTAATAAAATTATATATATATATTTTTATTTCTACTACAAAAATAGGTGTTGACAATATTTCTTTTATGAATTTTGATCGCATTCCTTATCTGTATGCTATCATGTTTGAATGGATATTTTAAAATTTTAAGTTTACCTTTAATATAAAATTTTACGTATATTCCCGTCTTTACTTAATGATGTTCAAATTTAAAACCTAACAGATAAAAAAATGGTTACGTGATTGTGATTATGTGTCTTTAAAGTTTAAATGGGTATTGAAAAATCGAACTCTAGATTTTGAAATATTTATTCTTTTGACTAAGAAGTAAGAACTCAATAAAAAAACAATTTAAAGGTTATCAATTGGTAAGAAATTTTTTTATTTATTAATTTTTTATCCTTATAAATCATTATGATTCAAAATCAATATTTTAAAGTTAAATATTAATTAGTCCTTAAACTTTTCAAAACTTGCAATTTAGTATCTAAGTGACATTTCATTCCTATAATATTTATTAAAGATGTTTATGATCTTTTTAAAGTTTAAATTAAAATAAATGTTAATTGAATCAAAGATTAGTAGAGTCATTGTTGTAATTTTGTGTAACTGTATAATAATCTTTGTATTTCAGTGAACTTTAACCCTTCACCTTTTTTAAGATGTATGATTAAGTAATGAATAATTATTTGATCTTTAAATGTAATTGTAATTTTAAGTCAAATAAGTTAATAAATCAAGTTTAATGAATGAACCGATAAATAATTAAATAAATCTAGTAACGTAAGCACGTGAATTGTTAAATTATAGTAAAACCAAATTAATTTTTAATTATAAAATAATTAATTATAAGATAAATAGATTTCTAAGAGTAATTATTTTTTTGTTGCCCTATCGGTTCCTAGGCTTTCACTCTTACTAATCTGGATCGACCCGTGTCGCAAACCTGACTTTAGTGGGTGAGTCTCCCAATCGAGATTTTAAATGTACATAAGAACTTAAACCCGAAACTTTGTTTAAACTATATCAAGTTACTTACCACATGAACCAACTCGATTTGTTAAGAGTAATTACTATTACTTCTAAAGATGAATGATTGTTTGTTCGATCATATGATTATATTTTGGTTTGATGTTATCTGAATCAATGTTAAATTATTCAAATATATAATATTATAAAAAAAATATAAAAGTATTACTGAAATTTGCAACACCTTTAACTGATGATTACCTATGCAGGTGTCTGTGTACCAAAGAAATGGAGTCCTTAAATAAAAATAGTGATCTTCTTCAAGTATAAATAGGGCATTAGAAATGCATATTATTCAAGCAACAGCAAAAGCTTCAATAAGCAGCTCCAAGCAGCTACAATAAATCTTCTTTTTCCTTTATTTCTTTCTTCTGCTCTTGTTTAGATTCAAGAGAAACGAAAGGAGGAAAGCGAAGCTTTATTTATTGTTCTTCCCAAGGTTTTAAAAGGTACGGAAAAAAGTTGTTTAAGAATGGCGAATAACGCTCTTTTTGTCGTTGTTGTTTTTGTGGCAGTGGTGGCGTCGGCGCTGGCCGTGTTTTTCGCCATAGGTTTTTATGCTATGGGGAAAACGTCGACTTCTAATAAGGTGGTGAAGTCCGTTTGCAGGCCATCCGATTTCAAAGAGACGTGTGAAAAGAGCCTTGAATCGTCCAACTCGAGCGACCCCAAGGAGCTCATAAGGACCGGGTTCCAGGCGATGATAACGGAGATAAAGAAGGTGTTGGCGGATTCAAAGACGCTCCAGGATTTGAAAAAGGACGAAAGGACCAAGGATGCTCTAAGTGTTTGCAAGGAGGTATTGGGTTACGCCATTGACGACCTTGAAGCATCCTTCAACAAGCTCGGTAAGTACGACATCAGCAATATCGGTGATATACTCTTGCGCATCAAGGTGTGGCTGAGCGGCGCCCTTACCATCCAACAGACTTGTATAGACTCGTTCGCGGAGAAAGACAGCGAGGCCGCCGAGAAGATGAAAAATATCTTGAAAACGTCACAAGGGTTAAACAAGAACACCCTCGGCATGATGGCAGGAATAGCCTCCATTGCTAAAGACCTCAACATCCCAAGCATCGATAAGATCACCACCTCGCTCCATCGTAGGCTCTTATCGGACAACAACAGTGAATTTCCCGAATGGAAAAGCCACAATGATCGGAGACTCCTCCAGGCAAAACCTGGCAATATTAACCCTAACGTGGTGGTTGCTAAAGACGGGAGTGGAAAATACAACAGTATCGTCGAGGCCTTGGCTGAAGTCCTACCGAAAAATACCCAACGATTTGTTATTTACATTAAGGCTGGAGTTTACAACGAGAAGGTCAACATGAGGGCCGGCTCTCGGTATTTTTTGACCCGGGGTGAAATAAAAAAATAGACCTCTATTTATGTTCTTTAATTTTTGGCACGGGACGAAATAAAAGAAATAAACCTCTAATTATGCAAAATCTTGTAGTTCTAAATTAATAGGCACTATGAAAAATATTATGGGTCCTGGGAGGGCCGGCCCTGATCGACATCCCCACAGATGCGACCAACATTATGTTCATCGAAGACGGTCCGATCAACACCGTTATCACCAATAACATTAGCGCTATAAGGAATAAAACCCAACATTCAGCACTGCAATGGTAGCAGTTAATGCTAAGAATTTCAAAGCCAAGGACATCGGGTTTGAGAACACATCCAGCAACGAAAGTGAACAAGATGTTGCGTTGAGTGTGTCCGATGATCAAGGCGTCTTTTATAATTGCCATTTCAACGGATACCAAGACACCTTGTACGCCAATAAGGAAATGCAGTTCTTCCGTGACTGTGTCATCACTGTACCATAGACTTCATCTTCGGCGACTCCTGGGTGGTTTTCCAGCACTACAGCAAAATAGAGTTTTAGCGGCGTTTTTTTAGTCCTATAGCAGCATTTTTAAGCGCCGCTAAATGCACTCACGGCGATAGTAAAAACGCCGCAAGAAGCGCCGGCCAAACCAACGCCGCTAATGTTAGCGGCGTTTGTGAAATAAAAACGCCGCAAAAAATCAAGATCTATAGCGGTATTTTTATATACAAACCCCACAAAAGGTTGAGATCTATAGCGGCGTTTTTTGAACAAACACCGCAAAAGGTCAGATCTATAGCGGCGATTTTGTATATAAACGCCGCAAAAGGTCAGATCTGTAGCAGCGTTTTTTGAACAAACGCCGCAAAAGGTCATATCTATAGCGGCGGTTTTGTATACAAACACCGCAAAAGATCAGATCTGTAGCGCCGTTTTTTGAACAAACGCCACAAAAAGTCATATTTGTAGCGGTATTTTTTGAACAAACGCCACAAAAAGTCATATCTATAGCGGCGGTTTTAATACAAACGCTGCAAAAGGTCAGATCTATAGTGGCATTTTTTTATACAAACGCTGCAAAAGGTTATATTTGTAGTAGCGTTTTTGGAACAAACGTCGCTAATTACCATTCTTTAGCTAAGAGTAATTGATATTTTGCATATTGCATTTATGCTCTACATCACCTAAATTTAATATTAAGCAACTTTATATAAAAAACAACAACCATAAATTTTAATAACAAAATAAATTAAAATTTATAAACATTAAAATTAAATGTAATGTAGTTTGACATTGTTCTCTAGAATTTAGTATAGGTTATTTCACTTTCAATTAAAAAAAATATTATTCACTAGAACTTAGTCTTCATTACTCTAGTTCACCAAGAAGACTCCTTGCGCGTTTCAATGCTTCACTTGAAACAGATAACGACCTTCCACCTACAGTATGAAAATTGAGAATTAGTGAATTTCAGTTCTCATCTCATCCATTGTTTTGTCAACATCATCTATATTCCTGTAAAGAATCCAAACTTCCAAGCATTTAAACATACAAGCTTCATTGAATAAAATCTTTTCTCAAAAATAAATTAGAACCATAATCGAACTGCACTCAAGTGTATGACGTGGATATGTTCAATTTTTCCAAGATTTCTTTTTATTTGGAGGTCCTTAGATCATATCCATATATCTATATCCAAACATGTCTAAGTTGAAGCACACAAACAAATATATTGAGTTATTGACTGCTAATAGAACTCGACTTTAGAAAATACTTTGTTGACACTTGCTTATTACTTCTTGAAACAGTTTCTATTCAAAACTGATAAAACTTTTGAGCTCTTGAGAGAACATAAAAATGATTGAATTGAAAACAACATATTATCACATCATTAACAATCATTTATTTTAGAAGTTACAATTTACATAAAATCAATTAATTAAGTGTTGGCTAGAATTTACCTCATTTTTGGGCCTTTATATACTCTTTTCCATGGAAAGCTCCACATACCCTAAGTGTTACTCACACATCCCATCCACTGCTAATACCTTCCACTTGTAACGCTCACAAAGCAAGTTCAGAGCAGCAGAGCTGCACATTCTGATTTCATCACTACAATCGTTGAACCACTAATTAAGCCAATAAATGGTTCAAAATTAGAATGTCATGAATTAGAAACCTCATCTTTTTAAGCCATAATTGATGATAAACTGAGTTTAAGTTAATTGAGCATAATTACATCACTCACCTCTCCATATTTTGCAAGCCTAATGTTTGATATTAGGTTTGTTGTGCTCAATAGTGAAAAATGCACTTTGGGGTGGAAGTATCCATGTGCAAAGAAAAAAAAAGCAAGAGTAGCCCAAAATTAGAATGGCTCATATAAATACTTTATGATTCAGCAGAAAAAAGTAAGTTCAAACAGAACTGGTACTTACAGGAAAAGTGGTTGGCTTATGTGATGGAAGTTCTCCATTAATAGCAGTATAACTAAAAACAGAAAAGTTCAGAGTCCAACAACTTAAAGGTAATATAGAAAAGTTAAAGGAAATGGATTTATAGAATGATAGAGAGTGTACTTACACGATAAATGCATCCTCTAAGGTGGCAGCTAGTATTCCAACTGTCCCAACTGTCCAGTTCAGAGGAAGAACACTGGAAACATCATATGAACTTTCATATATTATCTAAAGTTTACAAATTATATAATTATTTTACTTGAATAAGTTCTCACCCTGAATGAGGTATGCACCCAAAAGTTGGTTTGAACCCAACACCACCACAAAGGGATGCAGGCATCCGCACGGATCCTACACAAAATCCATAGATGAATTACATTAATCCTTAGAGGATGATACATAAAAATGCTCATGCATTTCTTCTCAAAATATAGGAATGATAGAACTCTTAGTCCTAATGTACTTTTATAGTATTAATGAAGTAAACAAATATTGTGATAATAGTATCACCTGAAAACCTGATGAATTCTACATGCTTCTTCCCTGATGGAGGTAATAGTATCTACTCAAACTTATGATGAAGCTATCTTAATGCTAAATATGTTCTTTCAGAACATTGTATGTAACATTATTCAAAAATATTGTGTGGTTTTCATTTTTTTTAGTAAAGGACAATATTTTACCTTCACTATCCACACCAAGAGCAACAGGGCATAACCTTGAAGATACAACTACAGCAGATCCACTCGAAGAACCACCAATAATTTTGTTGGGATCATAGGGATTTCTAATAGGCCTGCAGCAATCACAAAATATACATACTACCAACTTTAATATCTTTTAAGGGAAAGATCTTAGACAAGATGAAGGAAATGTTAAATTTAGTGACATTGGTTAACTGTATATTAATTTGTAATTAAGACAACGCGGATGATTAATCTGTAACCGTGACACCATACCCTAGTAAATGTTCTGTTAATTCTAGCCAATGTCATATCATTACAATATTTGCACATAAGATATCTAAAGCATACTCTGGCACATGTTAAAAGGGTTCTTACTCCTCAGTACAACATATTGCCAAACATAAAAAAATAAAAATAGTTCAAAGAGACAATGTATGCCGAAGTTAAGTTTACTCCGTACTGCAAAAAATAAGTGTGTGAGTGTGTGTATTTGAGACATAAATTCCACCATTTACCAGCCATGTTGTCTCGTTCTGAAAGGTTGGCTTAATATCCAAATTCCCAGGCCGAACGAATTGTTGAACTAGAGCCATCTTCTCAGAAAGTTGTTCATCCTGCTTTACATCATCTTTGAGTGAAGCAAAAACACGGGTAAATAACTTTGTCATAACATACTTCTCCAATCCTTGTATTTAGAAGAAAAAAAATGTGAATCCATCAATGCCAGATAATTTTTTTCCGTTTTTACTAATAAAAAACAAATTACCCAAATATAAGAAAGGTAAGTAATTTAATGCATTAAACATATGCAAGTAAAATGGGTATAGGGAGACTTACTTCACCAGCTCTTCCTCAGAGCATCCTGCCCAAAGTGGATGAGCTCAAAAAACATCTTCCATGTTGGCAAAGAAAGCCTGTACGACCGCACTATCCCTTTTGGGATCAGGAGCATTGTTCGAGAACGAAACTATGAAACTGTAATATGACGACACAAAGGCAACTCAAAAGTTAAAACCTAGAAATGATATCCTAAAATGAAACAACGCAACTCAATCCTTATGAAATTATGTTGATTTGGCAATTAATTAAGAAAAACAACATTCACATCGGGAAATATACTTAAATTTGACGAAATCAACTAATAAAAATAAATCATCGACCGAATATATAATCATTAGTCCCATTTGGGATCAAATCACATCAAGAGAGCAGAAAAGAAGCTTACTCAGAACGAGAACTAGGGCGTGCATAAATGATTTATGGTTTTGTTTGGTTGAAACAAACTAATCTGGAAAATGTTTCTTTCGGAATCTAGTTTTCCCCACTGAAAAACCATATTAGAACGATGTACCCTTTCTCCCCCTCTTTGCTTGTGTTTTGTACGAAATAGGAGATTTGAAAAATGAACTGCCTGCAATTTATGGGTTTCCTTTGTTTTCACGGCATTTTTAGCGGCGTTTGTAAAAAATGCCACTAAAGACGAGTCTATAATGGCATTTTTATAAAAACGCCACTAATGTACGAGTCTATAGCGGCGTTTGTACAAAAATGCCACTAAAGTACGAGTCTATAGCATTGTTTGTTTAAAAACGCCACTAAAGTACGAGTCTATAGCATTGTTTGTTTAAAAACGCCACTAAAGTACCAGTTTTTAGCGGTGTTTGTATAAAAACGCCACTAAAGTACGAGTATATAGCGGCGTTTATATAAAAACGCCACTAAAGTATGAGTCTATAGTGGCGTTTGTAAAAACGCCACTAAAGTACGAGTATAGCGGCGTTTGTATAAAAACGCCGCTAAAGTTACCATTTTGTGGCGTTTGAAATGTAAACGCCACTATATGTTTAAATTAGTGGTGTTTACTCTTAAAACGCCGCTAAAAACGCCGTTGTAGAACATTTTTGCTGTAGTGCAGAGCCAGATTATCGTGAAGAAGCCAGGTCCCAACCAAAACTGCATGGTGGTTTCACAGGGGAAACAGTACGAAAAATCAAAGGGTGGCTTCGTGCTCCACAACTGCACCATCTCCGATGACAAGGACTACATTCCGGTGAAGAACATTAACAATGCACACCTCAATAGACCATGGCAGGCACTTACCACTGTCATAATAATCCAGGCCAATATCGACGACATCATCATACCAGAAAGGTACATTACGATGCATCCAGGCTTAGGAGAGACTACTTCCTACTTCGTGGAGTTCGGGAATCGGGGACTTGGATCTAAAACCGACGGCAGGGTGAAATGGGCAGAAATCAAGCAATTGGATTTGAACCCGGCCAAGACATTCTCCCCTGGTCCCTTACTCCAATCCAATACTTGGATTCCAAATACCGATGTTCCTTGCTCTTCCGATTGGATCCCTAGACTATAAACTAGGATAATGAACCTCTTGTTGCAATAGATTTCATTGCCAATATCTCCAAGAAGCTTAATGATTTGCTTTCTTCTTGCAAATCTCATCTGGATCGGTCGTCGACATTGGTAGGAGACTTGCAAGGTGTTATAGCCAAATCATTCCCCAAATCTCAATATCACGGATCCTAAGATCAGAATTTAGGGGGACCAACCGATGTTGTACCTGGGAAAGACAATTATTTTTAGGTCATTGATATTTTTGAAATTATACAATTAAACCTTTATTCCTCTCAAAATTCATTGATTTAATTATTTTTAAGATATTTTCTATGAAAAATGTCATTGGCAAAACTTACCTATTATTGCTTCAAAGAAGCCAAAAGGCAAGAACAAACACTGATTACCCATATTTTTCTATATAAAGACATATCCTTTAGTGACATTGATTCAAGATCACGATCACAACACCACATCAGGTCCATTATAGAATCTGGCACGACAAACACCCACTAACATGATATCCCTACAAGTTTTTATAAACTATTCAGTCTAGCAAGTTCAAGCACTACTTCTTGTTTTTCTCCCTCAATACTAAAATCGAATTTCTTTGCATACTCCCAAGCTCGATTTACTTTCATTAAAATTACTTTCTTCTTACTACTAAAATTCAAATTCGAGCGAGAGATGAAATTCGCATCCAACTCCAGTGCTTTGTAAGCCTTACTTGATTGTTTCTTAATGGCTCGACCACGTTTCTTTCTTTTAACTGATGGTAAAACCATGTCTAAATATTTACCATATAACTATAGTCCACATATCCACATTGTAATACCTTAATTTAGTTTGAAAATTAAAGAGGGAATAAAATGTAAGGACCAAACTTATAATTATACCATTTTTTGAAAATTAAAAAAGGAACAAAGTGTAAGGACGAAACCTGCAATTGTACATATTGTAATTTGGGTCTTTAAAAGCCAATCCAAAAGCAGAAAGTTGGTCCCCCGTTTTGTAAACCAGAAAGAAAGCAAATAATAGAAAAGCTGGTTCTCTCCTTCACGTTTTTTTTTTCTTTCTTTCGTGTTTTTTCTTTTTTTTAAAGCATCAATACGTCAATGTGGTGAGGGTGTTAGCCTTGGTCGTGGTTCTGCGTCGCCTGTGGTGAGTCATCGTTTACTCGGTTTAGTATAGCATGCCGACCACCATGGATGGTGGTCGGAGGGATGAACGATGCCCACATAGGGCATGGTGTTGATGTTGACTTAGATTTCAAGGTGGAATTTGTTTTAAAGGATGATGGGTACATTCAGGTATGAAGTCTTCATTTATTTGTTTTTGTTTTCGGTTCTAGTATTTTTGCATATCAATTGAACCTATGGTGTGAGCTTCTGAGCTTGAGTTCATCGAAAACAAATGTATGGCTAGTAGATGGTGGCTCTAATGTGGCAAGTTATAGTAGGGGTTATAGTGGGTGTGAGAGCAGATTGTATGGATTTGAAGAGTTTTAACGAGTTCATCTTCAATTGTAAACTAGTTGATCAACCGAGAAGAAGTTCACGCAAGAAGAGAAGTAGATTAGATAGGTTTATTGTTGATGAACAGTGGTTTTTGGAACTAAGAACATTGTGCAAGTTGTTCTTAGAGCCGTATCTGATCATGCTTCGGTGCTTCTGTCCAATGGGGTGATTGACCCTTTAAGTTCATCTATGGGTGGCTTAAAAAAAGGAGTGCAGAACACTACTTATCGAAGTGCTTCAAAGTGGTGTGGGGAACAAATTGTGGATTGATTTAACGTCAATAAGGGGTTCGATTCATGGTTTCGTTCAGTGGGTTATTGAAGTTGATGAATTAGATTCTGATTTTAATATAAATTAGAAGTTGAAGTCAACAAAGATTTATCTTAGGAATAGAGGCATGAAGCTGGAGGGGATAGTCTGATCTTGCTGTTGGTATGGCTTGATTAGGAGGACTTAATCTACCTATTTGTGAATGTAAATTCATTGTATTTTTTTGAGGATATTTGGTTATTGGTGGGGGTTAACTGAAGGGAAGTGGGCAATGTTTCAAGCCTTATTAAGTTCAACTTATCCATTGATTTATCTGGAAGCTACGAAGTATATGGTTAATTTCAATTGAGGCAGAGATTTAATGCTTTTGGCTGGTTTATAATGTTGTGGTCTTTAATGAGAAATCAAGTAAAGACCTTGAGCTTATTCAAAGCTCCGAACTTTGGTTTGAATAAAAGCATTAAAGGTTGTTGCGTGGGTAGTGTGACCATGATCGAAAATGCAGATCCTGGTGGGATTATTTGCACTGATGGTGGTACGATTAGACTGTATTTTTTGTATCTGCTCATGGAATGGATCTAAATCAGGCTAAGGTCATTGCTATAAATCAGCTTTGGAATTGTATATGGAGGCAAGTGGGTGGGCATGGCGTCTTGGTTAGCGGAGATTAAGTCTTGGTTGGCCCTAATTTGGATTGAAGTTCTAATATCATGTCCTTGATTTTTGTGGTATGCTTGTTGGAAATAGATGCTTTGACAATTCTAATACTATGTCCTTGATTTTTGTGGTCTGCTTGTGGGATTGAAGTTATAATATTATGTCCTTGGGTTTTTTGGTCTGTTTGGTTGGCGAAAGATGGATGTAGAGCGAATCAGTCTTTAAGGTTTGCTTG